ATGAAGAGTGAAATGAGGGAGAAAAAACGATGAATAGAAATTTAGCAGTTGGGGTAATTGAAGCATGAGCCAAACAGTGTAGGGGATTTGATTTAAGAGCCTATGGATTCTTAATGTTTAACGCAATGTGCCTTAAATGAGGATTCACGAGGGACTTTCATCATACGAACCCTTTTCCTTATTGACAGTTGTTAAAAAAAATTACAAATCTTTTAATGTTTAATCTCTCTTGGTTTATGGCGGACTCATGTGACCACGAAGCGTTCAATCATCTGAAATAGAGACAGGGTACAATATTTCATGCATTGGTGTTATTCTCCCATGAAATGAGTTCTAAGAATATCATTTTCTTTTCCAATTATATATAAATCTTCTTTTTATTTATTTCTTCCTTTCCTTCGTTTGTTTATTCCTTTCTATTTCCTTTCTCCTTCATTCCGTTTTCTTTCTTTGTTTTTTTTCTTTCATTTTTCCTAAATTTTTATTTCCTGATACTTTCGTTATTTTTCTTCTTGCATTCAATTTCTTTCTCGTCTCAGTTTTCTTTTTCTTTTTTTTTTTTTTTTGGTTTGTTTCATCTTTTTTTTATTTAATTTTCTTTCTTTTTCTTTCATTTTCTTTAGATTTTTCTTTTTCCTTTAGTTTTTCTTTCTTTTTTTCTTTAGTTTTTCTTTCTTTTTCATTAAATTTTCTTTCTTTTTCTCTATTTCTTTCTTTTTCTTTAGTTTTTCTTTTTCTTTAGTTTTTCTTTCTTTTTCTTTAGCTTTTCTTTCTTTTTCTCTAGCTTTTTTCTTTAGATTTTCATTCTTTTTTCTTGTGTTTTTCTTTCTTTTTCATTAGTTTTCGTTTCTTTTTTTCTTTACATTTTCATTTTTTCTTTAGTTTTTCTTTCATTTTCTTTAGTTTTTCTTTTTCATTACCTTTCTTGGCTTTTGCTTTCATTTTTCCTATTTTTCTCTTTGTTTGGTATTTTTCTTTCTTTCTTCTTTCATTCTTTCTTTATTACATTTTTTTTTTCGTAATTTTCTTTGCTTCATTTCTCTTTCTTTATTATGTTTTTGTTTCGTATTTTTCTGTTTTTCTTGAGGTTTTTTATTTTGTTACTTTCTTTCTTTTGGCATTTTTTTAAAAATCATTTCACCCTCAAGCAAAGCAATAACGCCATATAGCTCAGTAGAGAGGCTGTTCTAGTGGTGGTAGAGGGTAATGAGACACAGATACTCCAGATGAATGGACTTGGAAGAGAACTTCTGGGGAAAGTACTCTGCTTTATCTGTAGTAGATGACAACACTTCAAATCGATTGAAGAAAGGATGGTCTGAGGGTTTACTCATGTTCTTTACACTCAGCCACCAGTCGTCTCTCGGACCAAGCTTTCTTTCTTACTTTCTTCTTTTTCTTTACTTTTTCTTCTTTCTTTTTCCTTTTTTTTCTCTTTATTTTCTTTTTCTTTCGTTCATGCTTCCTTTACTTTTTGGTTTCCTCAGGTTTCCTCCATTTTTATTTCTTTTTCCTTTCCATATTTCTTTCTTTATTTAGATTTAAAATTATTTCATTTTCATTGAAATGCTTAGAATTTAGTTTCTTTATATAGTTTCTATTTGGTTTGTTGTCCTTGAACTTTACCAAGGACAAAATATAGAGAAGTCAGAAATAAATTTTTAAAAAATGGCCAGAGAGGTCATTCGATAGACAAACTGACGGATATGCTGTCTTTCTGCCTGACGTACATCTGTCTTACCAACCTCTAAAGATAAATCATGAAATGTATTAGTTTACATTTACTCTGTGAGAGCAATAATATTCTTTGAATATTTCGGGCGAGAGAACTAATGCAGTTTCTATGTTGAATAAACTTTTTATAACCATCTTCTACTATTTTGGTGTTACTGTTAGTTCAGTGGTTAGAACACCAAACAGATGTTTGTGAGGGCAATGATTCATTCAGCAAATGTTCCACATTACTGGAGCTAGCGAGGAAAATGCGATCCAACAAAAACTCTATTCACAAATTATAATCTATTACCCTTCATGAATGTATCTAGAAAAGGCATGATTCCAACCTCCCTGTATTCTTTTCCATTGTTATTTTATCTTTAAAAAAACTCGATGTTATGACGAACACATTGGTGACCTATAGGATTGAATGTTTGGCGATCAGTTGATATATATAAGTAATTATGAAAATTGTTACATGGGAAGTGCTTTTATGAACCATGTCTCTTCAAGACGATCTTCATAACTTACCATTCTTTGTAGTTCTAAGCAATGTTTTTCTCTCTATCATCACTCCTTGTTCTGCATTCCATTTTCACAAGATACTTAGGTAAATTACTAAATACTTACCTTTGCACCTCCTGATTTCACAATGTGTGTCAGATTCTCCAAACCCTCTTTCTTCATTACGCATTCCAGAAATTTCAGTTATTTCTTTCTGATTCTAAATAGAAGTTATTTTTATTCCTATTTTTCTTAATTTTCCTAGTTTTTCAAATGCTCTGTTCCTTGTTATTCTCAGCATCCTTCTGTAGAACCACATTTCTGTTGCTTCAAGTCCGCTGTTCATCCGTGAAGATTTTGTCCAGTGTTCACTGCCATACAGGAGGATTGATATTATATACCAGTTCAACACTCTTTTCTCTGTTTTAATGAGATTTTCTTCTTTCTTAATACTTCGAAAGTCATGATTTGCTATTCGAATGCGTCTTGAGCTTTCTGTGTCATATCTTCCGTCCTCTGTTATAACACTTCACAGATGGTTAAACCTATATGCCTGTTTGATTCGAACATTTCCAATTCGAAGCATGCATCGGTCTCTTTTTTTTTCTTATAATTAATGGCTAGGCGGGTCCTTTTTTCCCTCGCTTTTCTTTACGACATCGTGTCGTAATTCCTGCTAGTTTCTTTCTGTGCCTGCAATCAACACGGTATCAACTGCATATTTTATGCTAATAGTTAATCTAGGTACGACCTGAAATAGAATCTTTAACAAAATATTTTTTAAATTTCTTATGTGAGATCTTAAAAAGGGGATTTAGTGTAGGAGTAATACCAGCAGATAAATGCCTTGGTTTGTTTTATATATATATATATATATATATATATATATATATATATATATATATATATATATATATATATATATATATATGTGAAAATATATAGAAAATAAGAAGGAACTGGTTAGGTAAATAATCCAAAAGTTCCTTAGTATTTTAGTTATTATTTTTAAAAATAGTGCTCGATACAAACGTAGAGCATAAATATAATTATTTATTTTTAAATATGATTCCAACTCGCGAGTTGTAATCATATTTTTAAATAAATAATTATATATATATATATATATATATATATATATATAGGGAAGAGGAAGATTCCATAAAGCGGCTTCTTTAAGCTGAACCTTGTAAGAACTTTTCACATTGTCCAGAACAATGTCGGTTAAAGGAATGAGAATCTATTTATTTATCAATCCCAGTCTGTATCTTTCTTTTTTATCTATCTATCTATCTATCTATCTATCTTAGTCTATTCCTATCTATCTATCTATCTATCTATCTATCTATCTATCTATCTTAGTCTATTCCTATCTATCTATCTATCTATCTATCTATCTATCTATCTATCTATCTATCTATCTTAGTCTATTCCTATCTATCTATCTATCTTAGTCTATTCCTATCTATCTATCTATCTATCTTAGTCTATTCCTATCTATCTATCAATCTATCTATCTATCTATCTATCTATCTATCTATCTATCTTAGTCTATTCCTATCTATCTATCTATCTATCTATCTATCTAATATTTATTTTATTCCTTTCATATGATTCTTTCTGTCTCTGTATTATCTATTAATATCACAGTCCCTTTCTTTCTTTTTCTCTTCCTGCCTTCCTTCCTTCCTTCCTTCCTTCCTGCCTTATCTACCTATCTAATTTATTTTAATATCTTCATATAAATCTATTAGTGTTTGTATTATCTATTTTCTATCTCATTTTCTTTCTTTTTCCATCTATCTATATATCACAATCTCTTCAAATCTATATATATATATATATATATATATATATATATATATATATATATATATATATATATATATATATACCTATTTATAGTTAAGTTATGAAGAACTTGGTAAACCGAATGGGTAATTCCAAGGAGGATGGAATCCTAAGAGTTCAATGTGAATACAGAGCTAATATTTAATGAAAAACAGACCACTTTAAGGTACCATTACAATAATTTATTTCACCAAAATCCTTTTTAAAGGTCTCCGGATCATCAGGTAACAATTCCAACAACGAAATGAAAGGAAAATTTTTAAAAAGGATTTTGGTGAAATAAATTATTGTAATGGTACCTTAAAGGATCTTTTTTTCATTAAATTAATTAATATATATATATATATATATATATATATATATATATATATATATATATATATATCAGTTCCCGACTAGGTATTTATGCTGATGACACGAACATTTACTTCTGTCTTAGTAGTAGGGTCTAACAAATAAAACTGAAAACTGCTTTTGAAAATTAGGTTCAATCAGTGGTTAACTGGGGCAAGACATGACTTGTAAATTTTAACGCCTCCAAAACTAAATTGCTATCATGTAATCATCATTTAAAAAAAATTTTTTTATTAAAACCCCAGGAGAGCAACACTTTTGGCCTTCTTAAATTCATGCTTTCTACTGATATGAAGTAAACCGACTCTGTTGAATCAATTGCTACGTCTAGAGCGAGGACGGTTGGTCCACTGTGACACTTTTCCCCACCAAAATCCATCATAAATATCTATAAATCTACCATTCGTCCATGCATTGAATACAGCTGCCATGTTGATTCTGATGCTCGAAATTCTTGACAAAATTCAAAGAAAGGTCTGTAATGTAACCAATCATGATTTGGCAAGATGTGACGTCTTTTCTATAAATATTTTTATGACAATTGATAACTGAACTGCATGAATTTAAGCGTATTACTAGATTGGCAACTTGGTCTCACAGTTTTATTGTTAAACTAACGGCATATAATCATAAGTTTTAGTCTAATAGTTTCTTTTCTCGCCTGTCGAGCACCTTTCCGATCTCTTTCTTTCCTGCCACCTACAATCTTCAAAAAATTAAATGCAACGCCAATCGATATGCTGACTAAAAATTTCCCATTCTCTTTCACTCCCAGTAAACACTTGCATCTTGGGGTGAAATGATTAAATCTATCTATCTATCTATCTATCTATCTATCTATGTTGAAATTTGTTTTACTCTTTTCATCTCTCCCTCTGTGTGTGTGTGGGTGCGTGTGTGTGTATTAACTATGCAAACAAATAGTTCTCAATCCTACCTCTTATCGTCATCCCGAAACACTCGCAGCTAAACAATTTGAATTACACAGACATAGCGAAAGTAAATATTTTAAAGATTTATTACCCATATGTCACTACACGTATTTCGTATCGTTAAGGCGTACCCTGCATTCTCATCTAGATAGGGTTTCTTTCTCTACCATTACGAAAATGATTCCAGTGCTGATTCCCCTATTGGTTAGACGGACTGCACATTACACTCCATGACAGTCTCAACATTTCTAACACACACACACACACACATATATATATATATAGAATCCATATCATCCCATGTAAGGCAGTAAAGCCACTAAGACACAATGGGTTGCATGGTGTGGAAGAATTAGAAACAGAAACACTAATAATGGACGGAAAGAGGAAAGAGTAATCAGGAGAATAGTAGATAGCAATTGACATTGCATTTAAATTTTCGTAGATTAAAGTTGGCCTGAAAGCATGGAGTCGGGAGAGAGTTCCACAACCGAGAAGTGCGAGAAAATAAACTGTTAGCATAAAATTTACGGTTACATCTTGCCAGTTCAACTGTAAATTGACAAGATCTCGACGCCAGTCTTGTACTGCGCTTAAATTCAATAAGTCTAGGTAACATAGCGAAGAGCTCATCGGAATAATTACAATGAAAGTATGTATTAAAAAGAAAAGAAAAGCAACCTTACGCCGGTGGGAAAGTGACTGAGACCGAACTGCCAGAATATAATATCCATAGCGAGCCCTCTAACATTCCTCGGAAGAGTGAGTCCCACTTCCTTGTTTATTCCTCGTCTCATTAAAAATGGACACAGGTAGGCTTCACTTTTGTCGACATTTTATTAACCGGCCTATTAAATCTACATATCATAAGAAGCACACGTGGAACTTATTTCGTTTTAATTATATATATATATTGGGGCGGCCATTTCTCATTTATGCAGGTTTTAAGAACAACGAAAAAATTTTATAATTGAACTTTTTCTACAGTTCGGAACACGTTTCCAGGGAGGATTTGTACATCAATTTTCCAATGTCTCCAGAGCGCCTTCAACTTTATTAAGTCATTATCGAAGAATTTTTTCCCGTTAATATGCCAATGTCTGTAGTTATGTATTGTTTTCTTTTTCTAATATATATATATATATATATATATATTTATTAAAGACATTTTTATGTTTAACATTGTTATTTATAGATACAAGTATTTAAGCAAATGCTCTGTTTATGATAAACAGTATTAAATAACATTTACCGGCCTGAATGTCCGAGAAATTTTCATAGAAAATATTCGTTCTTTGACAGGATTCGAACCTGCATCCTATACGGAACCGTCATTTACGCTGACGTGCCTTAACCGTCTCGAAGGTCGGATTTACTGCTTACAAACTTCAATCTTCCATGAATCTCGTACATTCATAACTGCTCTGGCGTATCAAATGTAAACAAATGACGTCATATATTAAGAAATGGACAATTTATTTATTAAAGACATTTTTATATAAATAACAACGTTAAACAAAAAATGTCTTTAATAAATAAATGACGGTTCCATTTCTTAATATCGATGCAGGTTCGAATCCTGTCAAAGAACGAATATTTTCTATGAAAAGTTTTTGTGGCCGACATTCAGGCGGTAAATGTTATTTAAACACTGTTTATCATAAACAGAGCATTTGCTTAAATACTTTGTATCTATAAATAACAACGTTAAACATAAAAATGTCTTTAATAAATAAATTGTCGGACCTTGTCCATTTCTTAATATATATGTATATATGCTTCGATAAGGCGACTGACAATGTACTGGATTAAGCTTTTCATTTTATTTTTCTTGTTTTCGTACAAGTGTTTTCTTTTCTGGTTCGTAGTTAATATTATTAAGTGTTGACTTTTTCTTTTATTACTCTTAGGACTTCCATTGTTTTTAATCTTTTTTTTTTACATGTGAATGAGTCTATTATACTTAAATTTTCTACTAGTACTTTTCGGATGGAGTTTGACAGGTTCTTTTGTGTGTTTAAATGTGTCCTAATTGACCTATGATCGGCTAGGTATAACATGAGTTGTCTAGATAGGCATGTAGTAGTATAACCAATGTAATTATTTATAAGTTTGGTTTAATTAGGAACACAGTTCCTTAAGGGATATTTGAGGTCGTAAATAATGTTGATTCTTTGCAGTTTTGATTTTGCGGGTGCGTTGTTATTTTTAATGACAAGGATCAGTTTAACTGTTTTAAAATTTTTTTGTAATAGATAATTTAATTGTCTTGTTCAGGTCGACTGGGGTTGTTTATTTCGTTATGATATATTTTTTAAGAGAAAATTCGTCGTGCTTATAGTTAACATGTATTTGAATTTTGTAGATGTTTTTCTGTATGTTCAGTATCACTATTAGTTACTTTAAGAATAGTCTAATCTGTTGATCGATGAGGTAGTTAGAAAAACCATTGTTAACTTGCGTCTTTTTTTTTTTACATTATTGAGTTCTTTTAGGAAAAGGGAACGAGAGGGTGAATCTCGTGTGCCCTCTTTAGTTTTTTTTATTACTACTATTTTATATCTAAGTGGGCATTCACTCGTAAATTAAGGGGGCAATAGTTTCTGCTAGTAGGCTTTTGTATAAATCGACGTTATGCCTCCATTCATCTCCCCACGGAGCTTGAGACTCAACACGGAGACCTACATCAAGTGCCTTGAGGATGTAGTGCTGCCCTAGGTCAAGAGGGTGGCTGCTGGAAGACAATATTTCAGTCAACAAGATTCTGCACGACGCCACACAAGCAGGAGAACACACTCATAGCTGTCATAAAATTTCTGCGACCAAATCACCCCTTACATCTGACCACCTAACGCCCTAGACTACACCCCCCTTGATTATTATGTGTGAATCACAGTTGAGCAAAAGACCAACAAAACTCTTTGAAGATGAAGGCAAAGATTATGGCAGCATTCAACAACTTAAACAAGGAGACCGTCCAAAAGAGTTGTAGGAGATTCCGAAGTCGTCTGAAGGCCGTGGTTGAAGCCAATGATTTATTAAATAAATTTACTCTTTAGTATTTCAAGATATTTTTGTGTAATGTAAATATATCTGTTAAAATGAGATGTCAATGTTATTTTCATTTTTACGTAATTTAGACGAAAATTTATCCATCGCACTCTGTGCATAAAAAACACACATTTATTTAAAAATAAGAAATAGAAATCTGGTTAAAAGAATAGCCGAAAGAGATCGGATATGCAGAACATTTGGACAGTTTTGAAGTACTTTCTATCCAGAAGAGAAAACACTTACGAACACAAGAAAAATTAAATAAAAAGCTTAATCGCAGTACCTTGTTAGTCGTCTTTAACGAAACCTGTATAAAGAAGGTATGCTGCCAAACACACACACACGCGCGCACACACACACACATATTTTATATATATATATATATATATATATATATATATATATATATATAGCATCATTATACCATCCTGAAAAGCATTTGATTTGATTGATTCGTTTTCTACGGCTTATCAAGCCTTTTCTGGTTATTTTAAAGCTAGAAAATATTTTTACATTGTAAGATAATAATGATTTAGTGATACAAGTCTTACTAATTAACCCATAGCTAGGGGGAAGAAGTAGATTCATACCTTTCCCAAGGCTATTTGCGCGTAAGTGAATATAACGAACCCAACTGGAATTGGAACTCGACTCTCCGGTTCACAATTCCGAGCCATTATAAATTGCACCACACGCACATTCAAGTTTAAAGCAGCTGATATTCGCAAGAGGTCACCCATCTAGGTGTTGACCAGGCTTGATGTTGCTTAACAACGGTGATCGTACGGGAACCGGTGTTTCCACGTGATATGGCCGAAAGCTTGATGCAAGCAGGTTACAAAGACCAAGTGTTATATAATAGTAATAATCTGGCGGTCACTTGCTTGACCTGTCTGAAGAATACATTGAATGAGGAGGAATTTCTAGTCTCAACACATTTTTTTTAAACAAATTTTCCATGATTTTTCTCGAACGATCAGATCTGCTCGAAGCTTATCTTAACGGAAACTTGAGAAAATAAAATATGGAATGAACTAAGTCCGGCAATTATTTTAATACATTTTCTTTTTATACGTTATTTTTATAGATAAGAAATATTTAAGTAAACTGCTTATAATAAACAGTATTAATCACATTTACTGGCCTGAACGTGTGAGAAATTTCGTAGAAAATATGTGTCTTCCCACAAGAATCGAACCTGAATCATACACGGAACCGTCATTTGTCATTTAGCTACGAAGAGAAAAAACATTAATTTGAATTTTTAACCAGACGCTCCACAATCTTTTGAAGTATATATATATATATATATATATATATATATATATATATATATATATATATATATATATATATATATATATATATATATATATATATATATATATATATATATATATATAATCTGGAGATTAGTAAGATAAAAGTAATGTGCCCAATGTGTAACAGAGAAGATCATCTTAAAAGGAATAGTTTGGTGTCTAAATCGCTAGCGATGTTGCCTGTGGGTTCTCAGCCATGTAAGTGCCAAAACATGCAAGTGCTAAGCTTAGATGACATGTTAGTTTCAGGATCACAGAAGCGCGATTGCTTTCAGGGTTGGAGTTAAATATCTATGGATCTTTCTCGGCTTGGTTGCAGATTTCACATCCTATATTACGCCTTCAAATCAACAACTTTTATATCTCGGCATCAGTTGTTAATAAATTTGCTGTGTTTTGTCCCTGCGCGTATGAATAAGATGCATTTGTGAAAATGACTCAGATTTTTTTTCTTGTATTTTGAAATATTTTCGTTGGAAACGTATTTCAGAGGAAAATATGAGAAAAAATTTCGACAAAACTTTGTGTGAATATACAGTAGTTTATGATTTACGATCTATTAGAAAATGCTGAAGGTTTTTTTAGAGCCTGCAAAGGCGCCGTAACTAAGTTGGGAGAAATTCAATCCCAGTGTAGATTTAATATATATAATTTATACATATATATATATATATATATATATATATATATATATATATAGAGAGAGAGAGAGAGAGAGAGAGAGAGAGAGAGATTTGGATAAATAAAACGACCAGATATAAGCAACCGTATACTCGCGTGTTGGCGTGCATAGACAAACAAGCAAATAAATAATCATCACATTTATTCCTGAGGTGTAAACATAACAGTGAGCGATGTGGTTAGACAGAGCAAAATATATATATATATATATATATATATATATATATATATATATATATATATATATATATATATTATTTATAAAATCACTACAAAAATAGCCATAAGACACCGGGGGTGTTGAAACAAAACAGCTATTTTGTAGTGATTCTATTTATATTTATGTTATAAATATTTTTAAAAAATAATTATATCTGCTCTACTTTGTATTGAGCATTTTTTAAGAATAGTAATTGTTGGTTATTGGAATTCATTCCGTATATACCAATTATATACTTGTATATATATATATATATATATATATATATATATATATATATATATAAAGTGTGGCTGGTCCTGCACGAGGCCTTCACCACTATAATCAAATCTCATGTGCCGGTGTCGGGATGTCGGTTTCCTGGAGACTTATCGGCCTGACCCTCATACGTTGAACGCGACGGGAGAGTCGATTATATATATATATATACACCTACGTTTATGTGTGCGACTTGAGTTTCGCTGGTTTTCCAGCTCATCGGGCACAAAGTATATTTTATGTTTTTATAAAAATAGACAAATGTCACATTGCAAGAGCGCTAGACGAAAAATGAAATAAAATAGAACAAAAATGCAGTAAATGAATTGTAGGTAGTATTCATTTAAAATAACAATTAAAATTTTTAATAATAAACACTACCTACAATTCATTTTCATGCATCTTTCGTTCTATTTTATGTTTCGTCTATGAAACAGCGTTCTTCCCATGTATTTTTATATAAACATAAGATATACTTTGTGACCGATGACCTGAAAAAAACCAGCGAAACTTAACTCACACCTAAACGTAATATATATATATATATATATATATATATATATATATATATATATATATATATATATATTTATTAATAGAAAATATAAACCTACAACACAAAAAACATAACCATGTGCCCTGACGATCCGCGTAGGTGAAACCTAAGTAGGTTTGTCTGGCTCGTTAGGATACTTTTATATATATATATATATATATATATATATATATATATATATATATATATATAATTAATGATCAAATAAATCCTTTTACCTCATATGGGGAATAGTCTATTTCAGCAGACAACGAAAGTGGTCGTCTGTCTTTTCAGCCCGGGTGTGGAAATAGCCTATTCCTCATATGAGGTAAAAGGATTTGTTTGATTATTAATTATATTGCCATGTATAAACAAAATACATCGAGCTCTTTTTTGTGGATCAGTTCTAATATTTTCATATTACTAGGATACACTAGCGGATATTTTATCGTACTATATATAAAAACATTATAGGTTATGTTAAGGGATAGTTTTTATGGATAGGAGGGAAAAGCAACGGTCGACTCTAGATCTGAACAGTTTAAGATTGTAGTCATCGGGGAAACATCCTCTTGGGAGTCTGTTAAATAGGGCAGTGTATGTGCGTGTATATTTAAGTAATTCATCGAGTCCGATAGAAATCTCAACAGAATGCAGAAAGCACTGGTCGGCCGTTTCGTCCTATTTTTGGGACTCATCAGCAGTGCGCATCCACTACCGAGAATTGAAACGCTGACAGGTTGTCAAGCAACCATCATACCAACTGTTCCACTGGGCCTCGGTTACGAAGAGATTGCAAATCAGACTCAACAAAGCGCCGCTCGCTCACATATTCCGTGGTAGAAATCTAACCATAGGACTGTGCCCCCAGGAGCCACGACTACTATCACCAAGCCGCTCACTCTAGAGCTTTAGAAGCCGATTCAAGCAATGATGTACACATGATAGAAATTATTAATAATGTACATCCTAATAATTTCTATCATGTACATCATTGCATCGGACTCGATGAATTACTTAAATATAATTATCAAATTCTCCTAATAATTTCTATAATATATATATATATATATATATATATATATATATGAGGTAATTCTGAAAACTATTAATTTGACATGTTTCGTTGTTTGAGAAAAATGGAAAAAATGGATTTTATTTCAACCAAATCTATATTAGCGAGAAAAAAATAACATGATTAAAGTTAGTCCTATGAATGCTGGATTTGGATTTTTTTTAAATTTTAACTATACCGTTTTTGAATTTCAAATTTACTAATTTTAACTCAATTTTTACATTTTTTATAATATATTTTTAAGATATATTCATTTCTTTTCAAATTTTTGTTCCTATCCGATATTGTTTTAATGCCAGTCTTGAAAGCACAGGCAATAGGCTGAAGAAGGCCAGAGCTTCACGACATTTTCAATGCTTTTTCGTCTTAGTGAATTCTCCTAAGAATTTTATTATTTTACTTCCTTCTTTCTGAAATCTTTCAAATTATTCTTTTTAATTTGCCTTTTCTTCCCTACATATGCGATCATGACTCTCCACTATTTCATTTTTTCTTTATTATCTGTTTATTACTATGATTTCATAGGAAAGATAGTGGAGTGATTTCCTATTGCTTTAACTGCGCTTTTAATTTCAGTGTAGTCCTTCAAGACCAAAGGGTTCTCAAACATTCTTGTACAATGTATATTGTACAACATAATTCAGAATGCCATTCCTCCCCTTTCCAATATTGTCCAACTCAAAAGGAGCATTCTAGATAATATGCATATATTATTGAAAATCCTCATTCCATTCTATACTATTACATATATATATATATGGATTATTTTTTATAGAGGAGATTTACAAATTTAATAGCAACAGAAAATATTGATGGATTTTTAAACTTAAATACATGTAGAGTGATTGCTTTTAATACATTATTTATTTATTATTAAATAAATAAACTGAAACACACTTCAATAGAAAAAGCGTTCAATAAAAGTTCAGGGGGAATGCATGTTGAATATACGATACATTATATCATTTTTTAACGAGATGAAAAAATTGGTCTCTGGTTGAAACTCCTGTTCTAGACCGATTACGACTCAATGTCAGAGAGCTACATCTACTCTTTTATTTAACCTAGGGCTTTATAGAGAAAAGATGTAACAATACCTTTCCAAACGGCATTAGTTCATAGCGAACGCAGTAGACTAGGACAGAGATTGAACTCGGATCGCTGATTTCACTTCCAGCTCTGATAAACATTACCCTAATCGAACAGTCATTCCTGCAGCCATTGTAATGGTTAATACTTTCTCACTAGTATTTAATTTAACCTTCATTTTTTAGTTATTTTTCATCCCAATTTTTACTGCTAATTTATGATTATTGATTAGACATTAGAAATAATTGATAAGGACTCAGTGACTTTCCAACTGACGTCTCTTTTGTCTTGAATCTAATTGGAAGCTTCTCAGCTGTTTCCAATCATGCAATGTTGACTCAGGGCCGTGTATTGAGAACCTGAGCAAATATTACAAAATATAATTACAAAAAAATAAGTGAAATTAAATAGACGACAAAAATGAATAGTAATGATAAAGCTTTATCGAGTAATTAGATGAAAGTGAAAGTAAATACGAGTTAATATTAAATATATCGGTTAACGATACATAATCTAATAAAAAATGAAAACAGAAGAAAATTCTATAGAAAAAAATAGTAATAAAAATGGCTGACAATGCTCCATCTAAAAATTGAAGATAAAAGCAAATATTAGTCATAATTAACAATAATGGT